GTAACGTAACGCGTTACGATTAAATTGCATAAACGACAAGTATATTTCTATATATACATAGGCAAAGACAAAACAATTCAGTAATTTTTCTCCTCTGTTTGTCAACTGATTTTACACACACACAACACGATAAAATATAGACTACTTTTAGGCAACTAGGGACGTATCGCACCGAACGAATCAATACCCTCGATAAATTGAGTCGTTAGTATAATAAAATAAATAAAATAATATTGAAAATAAAGGAAAAATGTTTAATTTTTAACTAGTTAGTGAAAGTAATAATATGAATATGGTAACGCACTATATATTATACTTATCAATAAAAAAAACTCATTAAGAAAATACCCACAATTACCTACTTTAAAATTTCTATCTTAAATAATTATGGACAAAGATGAAAGATACATTTTATGATCTAGACATAAAATAGTAACAATGAATGAAAAAATTAGAGAGGAATTTATAAAAGAAAGAAAGACTGTACTAAAAATATCCAGAAAATGAAAAGAAAATATTAACAAATAAAATAAATAAATAAATATGTTGGGACATTAACACACAGCACCATCTAGATCCATGGTAAGCTTGAGTTATGGATACCAGATAGTTGATACACTACACATATATAACTTTAAATATATACATATTATAAATATAAACACCCACGACTGGAGTACAAACATTCGTCATCACACAAATGAATGCCCCCAGCGGGACTCGAACCCGCAACCGCTGGCACAACAAGTAGGGTCACTACAAACTGAGCCAAACGTGTTGTCAAATTATTACTATAAAGCTTTTAAATAATGCATAAATAGACCAAAAAAAATGTGGGATTTATTAAACAATCTCTCTAATAATAGAATCTTCCTTCATTCTACTTGATACCTTTATACCTATGCTCAGTCAATATTAAAATAAATCAAATATTATACACATTATCTTATATCAAGTGTTCCCCGGAAGCTGCAGGCTGCGACTGCGTGTATAGGATACAGTAATATATATAAGATATGTAATATATATTTATACATAACATAGCGTTGGCAAATTTAAATATTATTACTATTATAAGCCTGTAGTGTCCCACTGCAGGGCAAAGGCCTCCCTACTCTTTCTTCACAGCTCCCTATCCTTCGCCATAATGAGCCATTCACTTTGGAAGGAGTCCAACTCATCCCGCCATCTCCGTTTTGGCCTACCGCGCTGTCGTCTGCTGCGTTGGGGGATTTTTGGCAAAAAATTGTCTCTTTGGCCCAAAGGTCATCTGACATTCGGATGACGTGACCAGCCCAGTCCCATTTCAGCATGGCAGCTTTCCGAGTGACATTCGTAATTTGAGTTCTGGAACGGATTATGGTATTTTTGATACGGTCAGTTATATTAATTCCTAGTATACTCCGTTCCATTGCTCTTTGGCCAACCTCGAGTGCATATCTTTGTTGACATGTTAGAAACCAGGTTTGGGAACCATATGTGAGAATGGGGAGAATACACACGTCCATGACTTTTCTCTTAAGGGATAAAGGAAGATTACCCTTCATTAGATCTCTCATGGCCCAATAGCTCTTCCAGGCGTTTTTAGTGCGCTTTGCAATTTCTTTATTTTGTCTTGCCTGAAAAGATACTATTTGGCCCAAATAGAGATATTCATCGACGTATTCAATCTGCACACCCTCTACTACGATTCTATGATGTGCTCTGTTCGTCATCAATTTGGTCTTGGACATATTCATATGTAGTCCGACCTCGAGGCTTGTCGTATTAAGGTCAGTCAGCATTTGAGTCAACTCGGAGGCGGTGGACGCGAATAAAACAATGTCATCGGCAAAACGAAGGTTTGTTAACCTCTCTTCGCCAACAGCAATACCTCTTTCTGTCCATCTATTTATCAGTTTTTTAAATATTTCTTGTAGTACGGCATTAAATAGTTTGGGAGATAATGGGTCTCCTTGTTTTACTCCTTTATTTATAGAAAAGGATGGCCCTGTATGGACATTAATTTGGATTGCTGCTGTGCTATTTGCATAGATATTTTTTAAGAGACCAATATACGTAGATGCAATGCCCTGGGCTTGTAATGCGCTAAATATGGAACTATGGCTGATACTATCAAAAGCTTTGGAGTAATCGACGAAAGCCAAATAAAGTGGCAGCCGGAACTCGATATGTTTTTCAATGATTTGGTTGATAGAATGTAAATGATCGGTGGTAGATAGCCCACGTCGGAAGCCGGTTTGTTAAATATAAAGGAGTTTTTTTTTGCGTAATAATATAAACAAATACCGGGAAAATGAGTTCTACATTTTATTTGCTTTAATTAAGAAATAAAAATTGAATGTCAATTAATCAATAGGCTCGCGGCAAGATCATTATTTTATTCTTTATTGCATATTAACAGAGTAACACCGATAATACAGAGACCAATGTGGGCAAAGGCGGACTTATCTCTAGAAGGGATCTCTTCCAGCCAACCTATGGAAGTGAGAAATAGTGTTCTATGACGGGACTAAAAGAGTGCAGTTGATTTAAAATATAATTGTAAATAATTATACAATTAAATAAGATAAAAAAGACACATACTCGTATAATGATAAATATTCAATAACTTACATATTATACATACTACATTATATTATACATACACATATACATACATATATACATTTTATATAAAGACTAAAACTATTTTATTATGTTCACTAAGAAATCTTTGTTAATAACATTAAGAAACTTATTTACAAGGAGTGTACCTGACAAGGATGAATCGTTATAACAGAATTGTGCAAAATTTCATACTTTGAAACCGCTCTACTTTGTATGACAGAGTATTTATACTGTAAATGTAAAAAAATGTTTTGAAACCTGTAACTATTTGTTACCACTACAATAATACATACTAATACTATATTCTTTCCTTAAATGATGTTCTATAAATATATGATTTTAATATGCCTGATATGCCTTATTTAATTATTTTTATTAATTTATCATTCCTTGTACAAACAGAGAGTAGTGATATACGGGATGAAATTTTTCTTCATGGCAGGGGGGTGCAAGGGGGTGCACTGGAACTCTCGCTCCCTGCGCCCATGCTACGTAATCACAAAGACAATTAAAATCATAATAACAGCGCTTAAATAGAAAATACAATCATCACTATAATTTGCTATATTCTTTTAAAATACGGACAGCTACGATTTGTATAACACAATACTCTCATTAAAATCATTAGCTATTCATCCACTTTTCCATGATAAAACGTTTTTTATTTAATTTCGATAGCTATTTTTTTTCTTCTTTAGCGTAGCTGGTACACTGTTTATGACATATAAACCTGTTTTAAAGTTCAATAAAGAATATCCTTAAATGAATTGAAAAAAACTCTATTTAATTAGACTTATTACAAGCACTTTTGAATATAATATATTAATATAACTACTAGCGACTCACCTACTCTCCTCACAAACTTCATCCCCATTTTAACCCTCTTAATTGATGATATCCGGAATAAAAACTATCCTATGTCCTTCCCAGAGTCTCAAATTATCTTATACTGGCACTAACTTCGAAAATATCTGATTAGGTATCTATTCTAAATGAAAACCCCCGTTTATATTTTTATTACATTTTAGTCCTTGGAAGTCGGTTTTTATTATTTTTTTAAAAAGTTTTTACATCAATAGATTCCGCGAGATAAAGCTTTTGTTTTTTTGTAAAGAGTTTATATATATATATATATATATATATATATATATATGTATATATATATATATATATATGTATATATATAAAATGAAATGCCGTTTGTTGTTAGCGCAACACTTGTGAACGACTGGAGTGATTTAATTATTTAGAAATTGAGATGTAAGAAAACACTAAACGTGCTTTTTTCCATAGATTTTTTATACACTTAAAGACCAAAAACAAATTTGGACACGATAACGTCTGTTGGACAGTTAGCAAATACCTACATAAAATCAGGAGGAGAGTGAGTGACAGGAATAGAGAGTGCACCTGTGTCTGCGCGTACACTTGAGCACTACAATATCTCCTGCGCAGTTGGCTAATCTCAATGAGATTGGCCGCCGTGGCTAGGAGAACATCATCATCATCATCACATAAAATCAAAATATTTATATATATATATATATATATATATATATATATATATATATATATATATATATATATATATTGACTGCCTCGGTGGTGTAGTGGCTAGCATGTACGGCTGCACACCCGGAGGTCCTGGGTTCGAGTCCCGGGTCGGGCCAAGTTTAGTTATTGAGTCTTCCTGTATAGTAAGTCTCAGTAACAGCCCGGAGATGGGAAATTGGCGGTGTTTCACCCCCGTGCCTCGGAGAGCACGTAAAGCCGTCGGTCCTGCGCCTTAACTCTCACCGGTCGTGTCGAGTGGTCGTCCCACCGGAGTATGAGAGTGATAGGAATAGAGAGTGCACTTGTGTCTGCGCGTACACTTGAGCACTATAATATCTCCTGCGCAGTTGGCTTATCTCATTAAGATTGGCCGGCGTGGCCGGAATCGGCTAGGAGAACATCATATATATATATATATATATATAATATTAAATCCGTAATATATAATTATACTGATACCGATACAGTATTATGTAATCTTTGCTGTCAATACAAAAGGACAAACTCGTAGTTAAAAAAATTAAAAAAAAAATATTTAAATATAATAAGCAAAAATTAACAATGATAATGTCATTGTTGTTTTTATGTGAAAATATTTATAGCGAATTAAATAATTATTTGAACAGAAGATGTGTACCTATTTATGTTTTTTGTTGTATTAATAAGCAAGTTTGCGCAACGTATAAAACTAGGCGGTTGACTGACACTCAATCAGTCGTATTTTCGACGTCAGACAAACTAGTTAACTTTTAGTTTATTTATTTAATAATAATAAAATAATAAAATAAATTTTAATATTTACTTATAGAATTAATATTTTCAAAATATTTATAACAATGCGTGTGATTTTGTGTTTCGCGGCGTTAGCCTGTTTCGTAACCGGCGGGTTAGCTGGGAAGTTACGTGAGTAGCCTCTTAGTTATATTTTTTTTAATTCTATCCATTAATTATGAGTGCAGAAATAAGTTTTTTTATTAACATATATAATAGAATATTGCAAATAATTACTATATTTTATATTGCTTCCTGTTAGAAAATAGTTCAAACATTTTACTTAAGGAATTAGTACTTAGATTTACGCGAATAGGTGTTTAACATTATAAATAAAACTATCTTTTCGGATTATTTCGCGGATTTATTTTGATTTTTGGTTCCCGACGTTTCGAATGCTTTACGGCAATTTAAGGGAAAATTATTTTTAAATTAATCTAATTTCTTACACGGGAGAGACTAAGATTTTAGACGTCTCAAAGGCGTTATATATTATGTAGTTTTACAGACAGTGCCTACCCATTATTTTACAAAAATGATTTCAAACATTCACAAATGGCATCAAAGTACTTGAGGAATTTATAGGTTATTAAAATAAATAATAAACATTCTTCGATTTTCTTTATTCTCCATTCTCTACATTCGCAAACACAAACTGTGCATATCAGTCACGTAAACGTACGCTAAGTAAAGTATATTATGTTTTTACAACAGGATACAAGAAAACATTAAAAAAGCTTATATTGCTATTGTACTTGTTCATGGACATAGCGTGTAAAAGCTTATTACAAAGGAAAAAAATTAGTGCGTGTAACCTTTACGCGGAGTTAAAGTAAAATTTCCTTGGCACTGTGGCAGATACCGGAACTAACAACATTTAAAAACTTCTAAGCTTACATCGGCAAACCGATAATAAATAATAATTGCTTCCGCCAGCCCCATGAATTTCAATTTTAAGTATTTTTAATTAGCTGATCTGATTATTAACTTTTTTTTTGTCATTTGTAGAGATACATATCAAATTATTTACTCTTAAGCATGAATTTTATAATGTAAGATAAAATAGTGTTATACTTTTTTCTGTTAGAACAAAATAATGTTTTTAATTGATTAAAAAAAACCAAGGTGTTAACATCTCGTTAAGCGACATCTTCACGCTGCCATATAAAAAAATAAAATAAAAAATGTAACAATGAATCCTATTAATTGTCTCATGACATAGATTACGTAACTGGAAGGAAAAAAAAAGAGTGCGTATACAGTGTGTGATATTTCCTTAGTTCTATCATCTATGTGTTATCGGTACTTTTTATGAAATTTAATATAATAATGTTTCTCCAAAGTCGTATCTTCTTTTTGACCAACTTCCAAAAAGGAGGAGGTTCTCAATTCGTCGGTTTTTTTTTAAATAATATCTTTAAGTAACAAGCGTTCAGTGCTCGATCTTTGTTTTCTGCATGAAATCTTGAATGATGCAGTTCAGAACAACGAATTACTTGAACGTATAAAAGCAGTTCCATATAAGTACCAAAGGCCCCGTAAACATAATAATTTCCATATCACTCGTGTCGTTACTAACTTTAGTTCCCAATCTCCCATCGTCCGTATGTGTTCGTAGTAAGTACAATTTATTTCTAAGGCCTTAAGAGAATTACATATTTTTCATGATTCTCTCAATAAATGTAAGCTTAAACTATTGGAATATTACTTTTCCAAAACTGATTTAAACTTTACTAATACTATAAATGTAGATGTTTAGAAGTTTGGATGTTTGTTACTCAATCATGCCAGAACGGCTGTACGGGTTTGGATGAAATTTGGCACAGAGATAGATTATAGTTTAGAATAGTACATAGGATACTTTTTATCCCGGAAAAATGAATAGTTCCCGTGGAATAGATTTGTTTTTGTTTTTCTGGAAGCGAATCCAAGCGAAGCAGGGGTGAGCCGCTTGTATATAATAATGTCATACTATTGTTAATTAACTAAAGTGGAGTTATTTTTATTTTATTTTATGTTGTTTTTAAATCTTAATTAAAAAAAAGTGAAAACCGACTTCGAAAATATTTGATTAGGTATGTATAGTAAGTGAAAACTACCAATCAGTTATTTTTTACTTTTAAGTGCTTTTGTTTGAAGTCGGTTTTTTTTTGTTAAAAAGTTTTTATTTTTGCCTTTTTAGACAGTAGTAGCAAAGTAAGAATTCTAACGTGTTAGGCTTGTCAAATCAAACAAAATAAGCCCAAACTCAAAGTATCTACTATTACCCGTCAAGAGTTCTACCTATCCACCTTCTGACCTTACCATCAGATCAGGTCAACAATACCGAACCACTGTACTATCAACGGAAATAGAAACACTTGCAAAGTTTCAAGTCAATCTGACAATTAAAAGTAGGTCAAATTCATCATTAGCTATTTTTCCCCCCTTAGGGGTGGTATTTTTCTTGAAATTTAAATGGGACCAATCTGGAAGTATACACTTTCAAACAAAACAATAATTGTTCAAATCGGTTAATAAATGACGGAGTTCTGATTTAATAAACATAAAAAAAAGAAAAATGCAGCCGAATTGAGAACCTCCTCCGTTTTGAGGCAGTCGGTTTAAATGTAATTTTTATCAAGTACCTACTACAATAATTCCTTACTTTAATATGTAATTAATATTATTATTATGAATGTTGTGTACACGTGTAATTGATATGCATGTCTATTTCTTTTTTGTTGACTTTTATTGTATTAAATTAACGCGTGTGCTCAATGTGCGTGTGCTCAATAATGAATATATAAATAAATAAATACTTTAAAAAAAACGTTGAATATTTGAATAAATCCGCGAAAAAATCCGAAAAGATAGTTTTATTTTGCTTTAAATTATATCATAAAAACACAAATGCTAATCAAAATCGAAGCAGCATTAAATAACACGTTACACCAACCGAAAAGTAGTTGGATGGCTTCAGACAAACCTGTGAGAGTAGCATTCCTTACATTACACACTCGAATAACATTGATAACGCTGTAACTTGTTCTAATAAATTAATGCCAGACTAATGCCAATGCTTTAATTTTTTTACTAAAAAACTAGATTTTTGTATTATTTAAAAATGACAAAGATGAATGAGAAAGATTTTAAATATTATTTAATAATACCAGTTCCATGATTTTTGTATGGTAAAATAGCTATCATAAATATTTTGCATTGACGTCATAATATTTTAATAATGAAGGTGACTTGGCAACAGACATAATCGAAAATATCTACTAAGTTAAAATTTATTCTATCTATTATTAGATTTATACCAAACTATGAAATATTTAATGTTATAGCATTTTTATTGGGTAAGAAAATTAAATAAATAATTATAAATGAATATTATACAATAACTTTTCAAAATTTCTATCTTCTCAAAGTTTATAATAAAAAAACTCTTAGCGTTTATATCATATTGAAGAAAAGTTTAAATAGAAAAATGTCAATTATTTGAAATTACTAAGTGAATACATGAAACTTTCGTACTTTTTTACTATTCTAATGATTAGCAGTTTTAATCTTCAAATACAGATTTTTTTTATAGTTATCAATGTAGAGCCCTACCGGCACAATTTAGAAATAACTTTGACAACAAAGTCGTTATTTAATAAAATAATGTTTATTCAATATTCAAAATTCAAAATATTTTATTGAGCATTAAATTATAATTTTTTACTTTACTGAACGTCATTAGTCTACTACCAGTTCGGAAAGAAGAAGCCTCAGACCTGAGAAGAACTGGCGAAAGAAACTCAGCATGACCAATATCTTTTCTTAAAGTATAGTCTTTTTTAAAGTAAAATTATAATTTACAATATTAATTCTATCAAGTTGAAGTAGCCTGGAGGCGATCATTTCATTCCTGGCCATCCATGGCCTTTAGCACACAAACGTTGTTTAACATTTTTTTTTAATTTGGCGATGGAAGAGTTTAGAAAAGTATCGTCAAAGTATTCACACAGACGATAGATCATAGAATTGAGAACTTGTGTCGTTAGTTCCAAAAACAGTTACGAGAGAAATCAACAATTACTTTGAATACTCACCATTTTCTTACTTCGCAATAAAAAAATTAAATTTAGTGTTTCTTTTGCATCACTCTCTATATCGGTGTGATATACGATGACATCATATAAAAGCTCTAATAAAATAATTATATTTTAAATAAAACTATCTTTTCGGATTATTTCGCGGATTTATTTTTAAAATCCTATATATAATTTTTTTTTTAATTCCATATATATATAAAAAAGTCCCATAGTATAGTGGTAGCTTCATCAAGAGCCTAACAATATTGGCATATAAAATACTACTACCTTGCTTTACTTGGGTGCGTCCCGAGGTAACCTCATGAAGTAACTCAACGGCCTTTTTCCCAAATCACTTTTTCCGGCTTTTATTATGACTTCTGAATGTAAACACAAAATGTGTATGGTAATATAAATTCAATTAAAAATTAAAAAAAACCGACATTAAAATTTATCATAGTGTATAGTATGCTACTAGTCAAGCCCTTTCATTTGATACCTATATTGAGGGACTTGTGAAAAATAAAGAAAAATAAAGAGTTGTAAAAGTAATCCGCCATTTTGTGGCGGCGGACATCATGGACCGATTTTCATCAAACATAGCTAAGAACACTCAACTAATTCACTTTTCAAACAAAAAAAAAACAAAATCAAAAAACACACAGACACGTCAAACTTATAATATCGTTTTTGCGTCGGGGGTTAAAAAATAGGTCTTGACGGTAATATACGGTAATATTACATACAGTATTCCATCTTCATACAAACGGTCGGAAATCGAGTTATACCTACGCGCGTCGCGTTCGGTATACACTCGGTAGACAACCGTCGGGGCTGCCACATCGTATAATTGGATACGAAAATTGTATAAGGTGGTTATGTTATGTAACTTTTATAATTTTATACAAAAATAAACATTTTATTCCTCCCGTAACTTCGCTAATGTCAAACAAAAAAGTATCGAGACATCGTATGTTTTAAAAATAAAAATTAATTAATTAAATAAAAAATAAAAATGAAAGTATTTTTAATTAAACTTTTTATCCGAATGCGGATTCTTTATACTATTAA